CGAAGACAGTGTCCACTGTTATTGACTTTTACCAACACGAGAGATATATTCACCCGAAACAACGGGTGCCCTGCGATTGGCCCGGATGTGAAGGACTGTTCAAAAACTATAAATATGTGAACAAACACAAGAATGAACTACACCTTCGCACCAAACGCTATCCGTGCGAATGGCCCGGTTGTGGATACGCTGCCCGAACAGCACATTCATTAAAGCAACACAGAGTGGTCCACACGAAGGCCAGGAGTTTGAAGTGTGATTGGCCCGGATGTGAGTACAGTGCGGGCGTTAGTTGGGCTTTAGTGGCCCACAAACGCATACATACGGGAGAAAAGCCGTACGCCTGTGATTGGTATGCCTTTAAATTTAGAGATACTTTGCTTTGTAATTGCGATTGTAATTCAATATATGTTTGCCATGACTTGTAGGCCTGACTGCGCGTACCGGTGCTCTCAACCGTGTACTCTCATATCGCATAAACGTAAGCACACGGGAGAGAAGCCTTATCTCTGTATGGAAAAGGATTGCGGCAAACGTTTCGCATCTCTGGCCGGCATTCATACCCTGCGTACCGGTGCTCTCAACCGTGTACTCTCATATCGCATAAACGTAAGCACACGGGAGAGAAGCCTTATCTCTGTATGGAAAAGGATTGCGGCAAACGTTTCGCATCTCTGGCCGGCATTCATACCCATCGGAAGACACATAATAGAAGTCAATTGACATTAAATAAAAAACAAAAGAAATCTTTTATATAAATTTAACAGTAATGTTAGTATTGTAGACAAACTTTATTATAATTTATATTTACAGTTTATTTATTAATTAAGTTAATTCAAATGGAATAAATTATTTACATCAACATTAACCATGGTCAATATTTTATATAATGTTCCCACAGTTTTAATTTAGTTTTCGATTAACTATTTCTTTCTCTCTTATCGAAATGTGGGGCCAAATGTGTTAAATGATTGAAACGTAACGTTATTTGTGAGAAGGACTTGAAATATTGTTTTGAAAACGTTTTTTCAAATGAATTGAGTGTTTGTTTGAAAAAGTGATTCATTTATCGATTGAATTGTTTTGACAATAATTATGGATTCAATGGATGAAAGACCTGATGATGTGATTGAGGGACACAACGAAGACCAGAACGACAGCGGAAGCGATAGTGAGGACAGCAATGCCGACGACGGCAACGATGAGGTGAATGAACAGGAGATCAAACAACTCGAAGAAGAGGTAACCATTATCTGTGACTAACACTTGTGGCAAACTATTGATCCCAAACTTGTGTCCACTAGTTATCAGTCAATTCATACGATTATCAAAAACACATGGATTTGATCGATAAGCTCGAGGCGTGCGATGATCTGGAGCTGATCCGCGCCGCACGCGAACGCATGAGTAAACTATTTCCATTGACACCCAATCTATGGCTCAAATGGATTAACGATGAGATTAGGATCGCCTCCACGGCTGACGAGAAGAGCGATATATTGAAACTGTTTGAGCGATCGGTCGAAGACTATATATCGCTGGACGTGTGGTTAGAGTACGTCCAGTATTGCACGGGTTTAACGGACTCTTTGGGTGTCGATGGCGTCCGTCGGGTGTTTGAGCGGTCACTCACTTATGTGGGACTCAATGTCGACAACGGAGTCCTCATTTGGAACACATTCAGAGAGTTTGAATCGTTTATTCTTCAGTCAAAGACAGCCAATCAAACGGCAATGAATGACGACATTCGCAAACAATTGGACCGAATCTTTGACTTATTTCGACGCCAAATGTCAATACCATTGATAGGAATGGAGAATACATTCAATGAATGCCAGAAATGGTGTCAAACTATAAAAGATAGCTTTTCCGTCGATTTGAACGTCTCTTCCATTCAAACGGTTTACGAGAAGTCAGTAAAAGAGTTGCAGAAACTCGAGCCATACGAAGAGTCATTGAAGAACTCAGAACCGCCTCATTATGAACAATACGTGCGATATATAGAGTACGAGACCATTAATGGCACTCCAATGAGGGTTCAGTCCATCTATGAACGAGCGCTTATCGACAACTGTCTGATCGCCGACTTATGGCACAAATACACCACATATTTAGACAACAAAGTAGTGATGGATTCAATCATTTTGCCGGTCTATGCGAGAGCTGTGCGCAACTGTACGTGGAGTTCATTGTTGTGGATCAGTTACATGCGAGCTCTGGAGCGACTGAAGTGCGATCACAACAAAGTGATGCAAGTCTTCGAGACAGCGCTTCAGTCGGCATTTCAGGACCCAAACGAATATTTGCAGATTTGGTTAACATATTTGGATTGTTTGAGACGTAAAACCAATTGGAAAGACGAGAAGGAAGTGAAAAGTTTGAGAAACACTTTCGAGAAAGCGGTCGAACACTTGGCTAACATCGAGAGCGCGGACCCCAACTGTTCGGTCCTTCAATACTGGGCCAAAATTGAGGCCAAATATTGCTCTAATGTAGAGAAAGCGCGGGAATTGTGGAATCAATTGATGACCTCTCGATCCGATATCGCATCTCAAGCGCAGAATTGGCTTTCGTTCTCACGTTTAGAGAGACTTTTTGGAGACGACAAACACTATAGGAAAGTACTGTTAAGAGGATTGACGACATCCTCTGATTGGCCCGAAAGTATCGGACAAATACTTCTCGAGTTTGAGCGCGAAGAAGGCGTTTCCATTGAATCGTTCGACGAAGTGATGCACAAATACGAAACTGTGATGAAGAAAGTGAGCGAAAAGCGCGTCAAAAGTGCCGAAAGAGAGGCCGAAGAGAAGAAACGACAAAAGACTAACAAGAAGTATGAGAAATACGAACTGAAAAGAGCGGCCAAACGGACGGCCGAACAATCGGACACAACTCAGAAGACGTCCACTTCAGACGTGGATTCCGATGGCTTTAAAGTGCCGCAAACGTCAACCTCTGTGTCGCCAATGAAAAAGTCAAGAGTGGATACGAGTAGTGAAAAGGATTGCAAACAAACTAAACCTCGAGAAGAAAGGGATAGAAATGTAAACACAAGAGAAGAGACGCCTAGAGATGAGCCCAAACATGGGGTGTCCTATAGAGGCGACGGCTCTAAAGACTTGCAGACAGTATTCATCAGTAATTTGAACTTTAATACAAACGAAGACCAATTGAAGGAAGCGTTGGGAAAGTTTGGCCAAATCGATGACTTGCGGTTAGTTCGCAACTATAAGGGGTTGTCTAAAGGTTACGCTTATGTTGAATACGCGTCCATCGAATCGGTGAGAGAGGCCCTCAAACACGACAGAATGCCATTAGAGGGGAGACCAGTCTTTATCACAGAAATGGGCAAACGATCCAAATTTAGTTTCAGTACTTCCATAGAAAAGCATAAGATATTTGTCAAAAATATATCGCCAGAAGTGACGGTCGAAAATCTGAATCAAGTGTTTTCCAAATACGGGTCACTGAAAGACGTCCGTTTGGTCACCTATAGGAACGGCCACTCAAAGGGATGCGCTTATATTGAGTACAACGACGAGTCGTCCGCTTTGCTCGCCGTTAAAGAAGCCGATGGACTGCTTGTGGCCGATAAGAACATAATCGTCGCCATAAGTAATCCTAATGTTAGATCCAATACACGCGATGACAGAGATTTGTCAACACAAAACTTCAATGGAAAGTAAGTATAGTTTGAGATTTTCTAACACATGGCTGTGAATAACACTTTCCCTATAAACCAAAGCACTTGTTAACACTTGTTTGTTTAGCCGTAATATTTGCCACAAAAGTGTTACAAACACTTGTATAACATGTTTGTCTTTTCAGTCCAAACGAGTCGAGGTATTCAAAGACCAGAATCAATGCGCCGATGATTCCGATGGCGATCCGCAGACAACGACAGACACAGAACGGAAATAACGAGTCGCCGGCGGCCAACAGTTCCGGTAGTTCTGCCTTAAGTAACACTGATTTCCGAAATATGCTTTTAGGCAACAAATAAACACTATTTGTAATATAAATTTCATCGCAATTATTATGTAATATATATGACATTCACTACCAATAAATATCTGATTACTAAACATTTGAATAAAATATTTATTGAGTAATAAAAATTTTGAAATATAATAATGGAAACATGTTTTTTGAAAGTGATGTCATTTGCAATTAGGGATGCAATAATACACCAATATTCTTTTTGCAAAATAATCATTTACTTTTTATAATAAATTGATATAGCTATTAAATTGATTATCAATTATTGATATAAAGTGGTGAATTTTGTCCATTTCTAGCAAATATTATCAATAGTTGAACCCATGTTGTATGTACGACAAATCTTGCCATGTCTAATACATGGACTAATATGTATTATTGCCCCCATACTTATTTGCAATACACATGTTTACTGACTAAATAAAAGTGTAGAGGAAATGATTGAATCGGAAAAATGACAATAATATGGAAAGAGTTGTAATAATAATTTGATTTTTTATTAATTGAAATAATGGTAGCGTTTTGTCATTTAAATATACAAATTGAATGATCGCTTCAACAGATAATATATGAACGGTTCGAAACCCACCAACAATTAAAACTCATCATATAATCAATAATCATAATAATTAGCAATAATTAATTTAAAAATATTAATTGTAATATAATTAATAATATAAGCGATAGTAATAATGGTTAGATAAACGGACCCAAAACAGATCCGCGCTATCCATTCAATTAGAAAAATTAATTAATTGGTTTCACGACTACTGTATAATAATAATAATAATAATAGTAATAATTAATTGTAATGAAACGGAAGTACATTTGATTTGGAGATACAGAATATCTCATTTAAAAATACTTAAATATAAAACAAACAAAAAATCAATTTCATGTATCANCAGATCCGCGCTATCCATTCAATTAGAAAAATTAATTAATTGGTTTCACGACTACTGTATAATAATAATAATAATAATAGTAATAATTAATTGTAATGAAACGGAAGTACATTTGATTTGGAGATACAGAATATCTCATTTAAAAATACTTAAATATAAAACAAACAAAAAATCAATTTCATGTATCATTCAATATACATATAATTTATAAAATTAAATATGAAAAATACCCGAAAATAATAAATGGAAATGAAATTAACGTATATTTTCATCCGCAGTGTTGGTAACAAAATATATATCTCCATAATTGAGAGAAAACAATGTCTCCCAAAGACATACAAACAATAAATATTTCGAAATAAAATCAAAATATGAAACAAAACTAATAATTAGTAGCTTTACATAAATGTAAACCAAAATTATATATCTCCATAATTGAGAGAAAACAATGTCTCCCAAAGACATACAAACAATAAATATTTCGAAATAAAATCAAAATATGAAACAAAACTAATAATTAGTAGCTTTACATAAATGTAAACCAAAAATGTTGTTCATTAAAAGGCACATAGATTTGGGAGGAAAGACATAATAGATATTACAAGTTGTAGTCAATTGTATGTTACGTTCTTTAAAGATAAAATTTCTAAATATATAGATAATTATGATTTTAAAATGTAATCAATTTCAACAGTGATAATCACCGGAACATTTTTGCGATTGTTTTTGCCTTAATATATAGAAACAATTAATTAGTTAATTAAAGTAATTAATAAATTTTACTTTTGCATTGAGTCTAGAGCTTCAACATTGAAGCGATAAAACACCAAAAAACAATGTCTTAAATGTAGTAATAATTTGTTTGATTAGTTAAATAGACAACCGATTAATATTAAATATTGTTGTATAAAACAATCGCAAAAAATATAAAACAGAAAAATTAATTTGTATTAAAAAATTCATCTCTATTTTAGTAGTTATTTGTAGATAACGTATATTAATATATAGAAGTTTCATAATATACATATATATATTTAGCAAAAATATTAAATCTTGTTTCATATAAGTTATGTCTTTGTCTCAAATGGTAATTGTCTTTCGATTAAGAATTTCGTTTTATAACACATACAATGGATTCATTCAGTAATAATTATAATAGATTTGAGTTAAAAACACATTTGGGAGCAAAAGGTTCACTAAAACTAAAAATTCGCAATAAATGGCCAAATAGTGCATTAAATTGAACAGAATATAGATATGAAATCAAATGAATAATTCAAAAAAAGTATTTTACAATTCTTTGTAATAATTAAAATCGATGAACAAATAAATGCCTCATTAATAGCACCGCAATTTTGTGTAGTATTAAACTCACGTTAGAGTCCACATTATTCTTCAACCAATCTTCTAGTGATCTCATATCAGATCTTATGACTAAATATATGGCAATTTACTTGAGTGTCTGACTGGACATCATCTGCAGTACTGTTATGCCGTACTCTCTACCCATTGAGCGTGACTTCTTGTTACGAGCTCTTGGTTTATGAACACATTCTACAATCAAACATAAAATTCATTCAATTTCTATAATTAGACATTAAATTGGATTGATTCTTACGGAAATTCCCTGTATTTTAAAAAGATTAACATAAGGAATGCCATTATCAGCGTAACCAACGACAATGGCCTGAAGTATCTGTCCCTGAGCTAACTCTTCAAATAGAGCGTTCGCTTCTGCCGTCCATCCCGTTTCGGCTATTGTTTTGCATTCAATCATTAATTATAACAAATAAACAGCAAATGTAATGAACATACAGTCGATGGGCTCGATGTTTGCTAAATAACATTCGGACGCCTGGAATGGCAGAGACATGAAGTCGTATCGGATTTGTCTCAATGAGGAGACGGGGAGGCGAGAGAAGCCTCCGTAGTCGACAAACATCACATCACATTCTTCGGTGTCGTAGACTTTGGTGATGACGGCTCTATACCAGCCGCCCATTATAGGAACGGTACATATCATTCCCGGATGAATGTTCGGAAGGAATGGTGTGTTTTGTTGAGAGTAAGTCTGATTCATATAATGGTCTAAACGACTAAGCGATGGATAAGTGGGATGAGTGGGCTGTTGGAGGAAAAAGTGACCCGCGCTGACCAGACTGGACAGTATCACATCACAGGATATACCCGACGGTAATTGGAGCTAAACATCGACACAAAACAAAATCAGTCACAAAACTATAGGACATGTGAGGGCAGACACGCGGCAGCGGATGGACACATACCTGACACGTCTGCGGCAAAGGACATGTTTGCGAGGCGTTTATTAGATTGATTTGTTGTAACGTAACGTCCGGGTAATGATTGATCGGGAATCTCATCCTAATCATAATGAGTGCCTCCTTAATGGCAGATCGAGTGCCTGAATGGTTAAAGTGAGAGACAATTCAATCATTGAATCAATGAAATTGTTATCAAATCATATTCTCATTGAATTGTGTGTCTCATTGTAATTGTGGTGCAATACCTGTAAGAGTGCATATCTTCATATCACTAGTGAAGGTGTGTTGATTGATGACAACAGTGGTGGTGGTGTCGCGTTTGATTTGAGTCACAAACCGACCCTTTTCTCCGATCAGTCGTCCGCAGAGCAGTTGCGGGATTTCAAACTGATAGACCACAGTCTCGTCGATGGCGCTGAGGGCCCTGTGCTCCACAGGTGTGGCGTGCAATATATCACTTCCCCCTTTGCCGCTATCGCTCGAACCCTAAATCGTGATTGTATTCAAAGACATTACTACTAATCGCATAATTGTTACCCAATTTGCTAAGTCTTTGCCCGAAGGCATTCAATTGCCTGTCATTAGACGAGTTATAAAGGGTTTTGTATAAGGAATTGCTTTTCAATCACAATAAAAACAACTAAATTATGTTATGCTATAACTTGATAGACGACTATCAGATAAAAAACACATCCAGTTTGCAAACAAAACAAAAAATCGAGTTAACGATTGAGATTAAGGCAATATATTTATATTTATGCACAAACTGTGGGTTATTACAGGTCATCACAAATCATAACTATTATAATATTCATCATTAGATCGTTATCTGAATGTCTGAATGAGACTAACCTCTGACTGAACGTCTGAGAAGGCGCTGTGCGGCGGGCTATGGGTCTCGCCGTTGCTGACAGAGTCCGGATAGTTGTGATATATGTCTCCCGATTCGTAACCGTTGGTCATCAGTAGACACTGAGAGGCCGATGAGCTACACGTCGACGAACCGTTGTTGTTGTCGACGGCGTGCGGGGGCGACGACATCGTCGGCGTGTTTACGTCACCCGTCGGGCAAACGTTCACTTCGATTGTGATCTCATTTGATGGACAAATGCTATGGTTTTGATTTTGAGCGTCGATTGAATCTAATACTACTTGTTTGCTATTTGTATTATTATTATTATTAATAGTATTGTTTGTCTCACTTATGGTCTCTTCGTGAACGGAACCATTATTACAACCATTGGGTTTGCATTGATTGGTGTAATCATTACTACTTTCACTATCATTATGTGAACTAACATTTGCTTCAAACCCATTCGAAGACTCCTTTTGGTCACTGATATAACTTATATCTTCCATACAATGCTTATCACATTTCAATGAATCTCTTTTTGTGGACTTTTTATCCTCATTATTGTTGCCATTTATCTCAAAGCCATTACAACTTTGAATGTCTTTATTGTCGTCCTTATTAAGTGACAAATTTGCTAATTTAACCATAATTTTCTCATCAGTGACACTATATTTGTTGTTCAGCTCATTGTCAGAGCGTTTTTTACATTCACTGTCAGTGTCTTCAATGGTTTGACAATTCAATTGTCGCTTTTGCTCCGATCTATAGTTAGAGTCCATACGATCCAAGCGGACGGCCGTCGAGTTCGTGTCCGACACTAGTTTCGTGGGAATGTCGGCGGCGGCCGAACGACTCGTTTTGTTGTCCTTCAATTTCATGGCCTCGTATTCGGTATCAAATGAACGCAAATCACAATACGTTTGACTACTTTGAGTCTGAAGTGAAACACTTTTCCTAATATCTATCGGTTCTGAATGTTGTGGTAAACGAGTAAACAATTTCGGTGTATTTGAATCGATGGTATCGATAGCCGGTGTTGTAGTGGATGTATGTTCTGGTGATTCGCTGTGAATATCGATAGCTTTTCTTCTCTTTCTGAGCCAATAAAACGAAACAATCGCTAAAATCGTCGGTAAACTACACGCTATGAGTACACGTTGAAAACGAAATGCCATACGGTTTGTGTCCAACGCTTAATCGCAATCCATTTAATAAATTTATTGATTGTATTCTTCAATAAGAATACACATTATCAGCGCTTCCGCTGATTATTCTTCAAGTTTTATGAAAAACAAATCAAATTTCCGAATAAAAAATCTTTTAAAATCAAAAAACTATTTTCTGTTCGCCGGATATTATAAGACTATTATCACAATTCAATTCACGTATTAATTAATTGCCTATAAAAACAAGAGAGAAAATGTATAAATTAAATGCTTATTAAAACACTTGTCAATTGCTTTGAAAATTGGAAAATTACTTCAAAAATTTTTGTTCAATAAATCTGTTAACAAATTGAGACAACGCTTCGCTTTTTGCACATAAAAACATATGAGATATGGAAACAAAATTATTCCCAACAAAAAATTGAATATAAATTAATAAAAAGAAAATTATATTCCAAAAACCAAATAAAACTATATTTACAAAAATCAAAAACAAATCGGTCTGAATCTTAAGGGCAATCGACTAGGAATAGTGGCACAGAATCGCAATGTTTAATATACAGTATGTTTAAAAAACTAATATTAATTATATATAAATTATGTGATTGTGTGATAAGAGTTCTCTCTTTATAATATTGATAATAAAAACAAATTGCGAGAGAAATAGACGCAAAACTACTAAATTAAAAGCAAATAATAATTACAAGTAATTTAGTAAAAACAAGAGAATGAGAATGAGTTGAGAAAAGTTTCATAAAAATAAGGAAATAACTCAAAGAGTAGTTTTCTGGGAATACTTATAACAAAAAGTGATTAATAATAAGTAAGACTACCTTTTGTTTGATAGTACATGTATTGTGTACAATGTATTGTGTGATTGAGAATATATTAAAAGCCAAAGAGTAGTGAAAAAGAGAAAGTATTTCAACATAAATATTATCACATTCTCGAGATTATATTGTGTGGTAATCGTATGATTAAATGAGATTAATTTATATTAACTTTAATGAATAACTAAAAATTCATATTATATTCATTAATACATTAAAAATAACTCGTTTAAAGCTTTCCATCTCTCAATTGAATACAGCATTCAAATGAGGCAAATATATGGAGAGATTGTTGGATACGAGAAGCGAACGAATGCAACAAATTCTAACATATGTTCACATTATATACACTATTATTATCGACATTTAACACATATAAGTGACCACTTGTTTGACCACTCATTACACCCATTCATAGCAAAGTGACACTATTTATTGGATCAGCTATTTATAGCTTAATATAAATTATTAACACAAATGTTAAAC